AGACTGGAGCGCAGTGGCCACTCCTGGCCACCGCAGCCTCGACCTGCTGGGCTCCCGCGATCCTTCCGCCTCAGCCTTCCGAGTAACCGGAATTACAGGCACGCGCTACCACGCCCGGCTGATTTTTTGATTTATTGTAGAGATGAGGCCTCGCCTGCCTAGGCGGGTCTCGAACCCACGGGCTCAGGCAATCCACTCACCTCAGCCTCCCAAAGGCGCGGGATTACAGGCTGAGCCACCGAGCCCGGCTGAGTTCTTGTTTTTATTTTGTTTTTAAATATTGTCTAACAGGAAAAACATTCTTAGCAAAATACCTGACATAAGAGAATCGCCTGAAAGTGCTGAGCCCAGTTTTTCTCTTTACCCTGATTCTAACACATATTGAAATAGAAATCTAATGCCTACCTCAATTTTAGATGCTGGAACACCAATTGCTTTGGCCAGTTGCTCCCGGGCAGCTTTATCAGGGTAAGGATCATGTTGAAACCATGCTTGGAGGGTATTCTTTTGACGCTGACTAAAAGTAAACCTGCTTTGTCTAGGTTCTTTTTGTAATGTACCTGCTGAAGAGGAATGGGATAGAGTATGAAGAATATATTTATGTTAAAAACAGATTTTGAGCCGGGCTCGGTGGCTCAGCCTGTAATCCCGTGCCTTTGGGAGGCTGAGGTGAGTGGATTGCCTGAGCCCGTGGGTTCGAGACCCGTCTGGGCAACTTGGTGAGCCCTCATCTCTACAATAAATCAAAAAATTAGCCGGGTGTGGTAGCGTGCGCCTATAGTTCCAGCTACTTGGAAGGCTGAGGCGGAAGGATCGCCAGAGCCCAGCAGGTCAAGGCTGTGGTGGCCGGGAGCGGCCACTGCACTCCGGTCTGGGCGACAGAGTGAGACTCCAACTCAAAAAAAAAAAAGAAAAGGGAATTCTGGGGTCCCACCCTTGCTCAACTAAACGGAACAACTTTCTCTTTATATAAGAAACAGAGATATTTTCATGCAGGTTCCCAGTTTTCAAGTTGTTCTAGAATCCACATCTTGATGTGGGCTCTGCAGTAACACTGCTGCTTTAGAAAGTAAAGCACCAGCCTGGAGCACTAGGACTCCCAGTTCTTTCCAGGTTTCACTGAACCAGCCTCTTTCCCTCTCTGGTCTCTGTTTCCTTGCCTAAGGAGAGTTGGTGGCTGACTCTAGCCCTGGGGATAGAGGTTGCAGGGGAGGGGAGGATTGAAGACAGGTGTGAGAGGAGGACACAGGGTGAGGAGCCTGACACTGAGCCACAGAGGTAGGGGTCCCCTGCCCAGGGCTACCACTTACCGGATGGTGATTTCAAAGATCTGATTGAGTTTGCTCTGGAGCAGTGACGCCTAGACACAAACAGAGGGGCAAGTGAGCTGGGAGCCTCCCACAGCCTCTGCCAGCATACTCTCAGGCCCACCTGTTGGGAGTACACACTGGGGGTGCAGGGCAGTGACAGCCTTAGGAAGGCAACTAGGGGCGAGCACATTCCAGCACTTATCTGTTGGACCGTGACTGTAGATTCAGATCAGGAAAGGCCGCCCATTGAAGGCTGGCTCGGGACAGGGCAGAAGGCCAGAAACACCAGGCAGGACATCAGCAGGCAGTTCTTAAAGGCCTTTGTTCCTTAATGCAGGGCAGTAGGGCCTGCTGGGCATGGAGTCAGGAGACTCAAGCTAGTGCCAGCTTGTTCCTTAACTCACAAGGAACAGCTCTGCAAAACTGGTGGGTGAGAGATGATCTCTGGTCCCTTCTGGCTCCAACTAAGTCTATGAATGCAGACAGTGAGACTGCACATGTGTTCAGTAATTGGGCCTGCACTTCAACTCATGAAATGGGCAACATCTACCTCTCACGATAGAGACGTTAGGACAGCATAGGACCAGAAAAATCTGTCTGAATATCCATCTGCCTATCTATCATCTTCTAATATATATACACTACACATATATAATATACAAATATTATATATTTATATATAATAGACAAATATTACATATAAAATAGATACTACATATAAAAGAGAGAAAAAGGTTTTGGTAGATTTTGAATATTTACACTTATGTTTTGCCATTACCAAGACGGACACTGGCTAACAAATCCTGGCACATAATTAATTTCAAGAAGTCTGAGCTCTTCCCTCAAGTCTAGACACAGGTCTTATTTCTACTTGTCTTGCCTCTCTCTCAAACCTCTTTTCCAAGGCCTGACTGTTCCATCCCCCTGCTGGGGTCCCCGGTTGGAAGAGGCCCCTGCTGCAAAGGCTGACCATCTTTCCTTGGCCACACATATTTCCCCAATCACTCTGTAATATGGGGACCACAATGGTACCAACTTCACAGAGTTATCATGAGAAGGAAATAAGCTAATAAAGGAAGGAAGTTCTAGCACACATAAGGGATATTTATGTACCTGCTAGTATGACTGTAATGAATATAATCTGCCTGACACAGGTGTTCCTGAGCTCAGGACTTCTTTCTTAAGTGAAAATTGTGAGGTCTGGAGGCGTGTATGACTAAGACCCAAGTCTTCTGGTTCATGGGGGAGCAATGTAGTGTTGGGAAAAGTCTGGCAGTGCAACAGTAGAGCTCCCTGTGCTGGAATATAAGCCCTCATGTCTGGAGGTCAAAGAGCCAAGATCTTCTAGAAACGAAATTCTGCCCTGGACCCCAATCGGTCTCTGCTCAGCCCCTGAGGACTTGCCCCGTTAGGCCTCACTTACCCGGGCCCCACAGTGTGCTGCAATCTCCTCAAAAGGTGCCTTCTGGAACTTCTCCACCACCTGTCGCCGCCGCTCACGTTCCTGCTCCTCGACCGCTACACTGTCCACTGTGACACAGAGAGCTGTGTTAGCACCGGGTCCTGCCCACTGAGGAAGAGGAAGGACTTGAGCATATGTGAGAATGGGGCTTCTCCCAGGGGCAGTCCATGAGTGCTGCTTGGACTTTTCCTCTTCTGAAATGTACGGGATGGGAGCGTGGAGGTGTGGCGCTCTCACTTGGCCCCAGGAAGGCAGGACCTTTTCCTGATTCTTGCCTGAGGACTCAGCATGCTTCCTTTTGTAAGAATTTGAGAACTAGTTACGTGGATCTTCAGCTGGGCTTTTAAAGCCTCAAGTAGCTGTTCTGCCACTAGGTCCTGGAATGGTTGGTCATTTGAGTATTCTGGAGATAATTTGAAAAGGGACATGAAAAAACCCAGCTAGACCACAAAAGTCATCAGAAACCTGCTGTGGTAGGTAAGTCTGAGGCCATTTAGCTTAAGGCTTCTATACATGCCGCCTACTATCCAAAATAGCAGTGTATATGCTCAGAAAGAGTACCATTAATGACAACAAAAAGAAGAAAGGTCTGGCATTTAAAGGCATAATTTGTCAACAGAAAAATTCTCTTATTGGGACTACTTCATTGCTCAGTAATCTAGAGAGATGAGGTAACAATGCATTAAAAAATCTATTGCCCTTATTAAATAAATATTCATATGACTTGTCCTTAATATCTTCTATTAGTCAACCTGTTCTTTTGTATCACATTCCGGAAAAAAAAAAAAGTCAAAATATTTATTCCAAATTTTTTTTTCACCTGTAGTCCCCAACTGGTTACTTTTAACTCTTTACCCACATAGAAAAAAAAAAAAAGTGTGGCTCACTGCTGCGTTCATTTAATTTTACATAAACACGCTCTTTGAGGCTGAAGCAAATCTGACTGGTTTTCAATGTGAAAATAACATATAAAAACCGTTCTTGGAGCTATTTCTAAACAAACTTTGTCTCTAATCCTAACAAGAATTACTAAAAAAATAAATAAATAAATAAGAGAGAGAGAGAGAGAGAGAGAGAGAGAGAGAGAGAGAGAGAGAATTATTATACAGTATTTTGTAATTAAAAAAAAAGAAAACCTTGGGTTGACCACGTGTAGTTGACTCATGCCTATAACCAGCACTTTGGTAGGCCAAGGTGAGAGGATTGCCTGAGCTCACGGGTTCGAGACCAGCCTGGGCAACTTGGCGAGACCTCATCTCTACAATAAATTAAAAATTAACTGAGTGTGGTAGCATGTGCCTGTAGTTCTGGCTACTTGGAAGGCTGAGGCAGAAGGATCACCTGAACCCAGCAGGTTGAGGTTGTGGTGGCCATGAGCTGTGTACCACTGCACTCCAGACTGGGCAACAGAGTGAGACTCCAACTCAAAAACAAACAAACAAACAAAAAACCTCGAGTTAAATGCTGCAGCCGCAAGCACTGCCCGTGAGTATCCTCAGGTTAAATAGGGGAAGGGTTAAAGGCAGCTGTCATTAGTAGAAAAATGGTTGCCCACTGTGGGCACATAGGGCCACACTCTGATCCCCTTTAGGAAAGCGGGGACTCTCAGTGGCAGCTTGGGGAACTGTGTTGAGTTTGTTGGAAGCTACCAGTCTCTCCTCTCATGTGCCGAGTAACTCCGTGGAGGGTGCCAGATCAGGCAGCATTGACAGGAGCAGGCCATGGACTCTGCCTCAACCTCACCTCTACCCAGAGTCCCTTTGGGCCCCATTTACCAATAGCCTTCTTCAGCGTCTCATAGGTGATCTCCTCGGCAGGCACTCGCTGGAGAGGAGACAGAAGATGCTCAGAAAGGTAGAGGGCAGGGGAAGGAAGCAGCCCTGGCCTCCTCAGCTATCTAATAGCCCCTTTACTTTTTAGAGGTAAGTTCCCAATGGACAGATAGTCCCTCAGGACATGCATATTTCTACCAGGGTCTCTGAAAGGTCCCTGGGCAGTCATAGAGGACAGCAAGTGAGAGGTGGGTGGGCAAAGTTAATTCCTCACTGGATTCAGACTCAAAAGAGAGTTCTGAGTCTCACCTAAAATAATTTACTCCCCAAGTCTGTCCCATCAAGCCCCATGAGAGAAAAACATTGCACAATTTTTAAAAGGCCTCCAGAAAACATGAAATATTGGAAACACGAGGAGATAGTTATCAAATATAATCTCAGATGTAAATTTCAAGAACTGCATAACGTTTTTGAAGACTTATGATTTTAAGTTACCCAACCAGGTGATCTAAGTATTTAACAAAGTTAAGAAATAGGAGGCTAGAATTTACCCCCCCCAACTGTTGAGGTCAGTCCAAGGACCTGGGTTTTTGGACCTCAGTCCTCTGCAGGGCCTATAAAAGAATGGGAAAATAATAAAACCTAAAGAAGGGAACTCCATGGGTGGCCTCAGGTCAGATGCTGAAAATAGTGAAGGAATCTGTGCTAAATTTGAGGAATTCTCACTAGACTATCAGCTATGTGATGCAGACCCATGATTTACTCATGTTCTATCACTTCAACATAATTAAGCAGGAGCAGCTGACACAGAAGAGAATGGTTTTGTTAACATAAAGTTCAAGGAGTGATACAACTCACTAGGAGTGACACAACTCACAACTTGCTCAGGCTAGGAGCTCTCTTAGGGGAGGAGACACAGAGACAAGGCCCCTGGGCAATGACAGTGTTCCATTCTTTGACTCAGGTGTGATTACACAGGTATACTCTCTCTTTGTGAAAATTCATTGAGTTACACACTTTTGAAAAAAAACTTGTTTGGCATTTTTGTTTGAGTAGGAAAGAACAGAAGTGTGGATGTGGGATACAGTCATTCAACAAGTACAGGCGAGTCAGCAAAATCACAAAGTTAGTTAGCAGAGGGGATTACATACAGGAGAGAGCTATGCTATCCTCACTCTGAGATTCATCTGCCCATCTCACCCACCCACCTATTCATCCACCCAACCCATTCACCCCTTTACCCATCCATCCACTCCCCCACCCATCCATCTACCC